CCCAACTCAGAGCAAGGGTAACAGCACTGGCAAAACACAAGCAGTCTAAGTGTTACAAGGGAACTTTACCAGGGCTTTGACATATGGATTCAGTTTTTTCAAGGTTCCTATTAGTAGAGCTCTCTTCTCCCTGTTTCTTGGTTAACATTTTTGTTCAGAGAAGAGAGATTAATTGTCCCCCGATTGCTGTGCTGAACAATAGAGTTTTCAAAATCATTTACGAACACTTGTTAAATGATGCCAGACATTGCTTAATCTTTTCCCTCTGTCAGGGCAAGTGATCCTTGAATTTTTAGTTTCTATATGCCAAGAGAAGACTTTTATGATAAAGACAATTTGTAGGGCATGAGTCCTGGAGAGGGAAGGAGAAGGAATAAATAAATTGATAAATAAACAAAACAAAGAACCATTTTATTTCAGTTAATCATGATTGGAGAGATTTCATTTTTTGGGAAGCTGGTTTGCTTTCTGGAGCCTTGCTCCATACAGCAGACTGCTGGAAGTAGGAAAGTGACTTTGGTTTGTGACATAACAAATGAAGAAAAACACAGGATTAAAAACACAAGTGTACATGGACGTGTACAGACCTGAAACAGCAAGCCTTTTCTAGTGCTTGTGGATCAGTATTTTGCACCTGCACGAAAATAGCAGAAGGGACTAATAACCTAAGAATCAGAAATTTGGGAGAGGGTAGCGGGACAAGGTCATAGAGTCCACTTCCTATCAGCATAAAGATTGCTCCTACTGTTTGTTCTACAGAGCCTAATCCAGGCAAGTTTTAAATAATTTGAGAACTGTTGCTTGCAACACTTTCTCTAGGAGACTTCTCTTAGACAGATAGAGCTCAACATTAGGATGTCCTTCCTCTTCCCCATGTTTATCCTATGTCATTTCACTGCTTCTGTGCATTTCTAGCATTCTCATCAGTGCAGTATTTTGCACCACTGACACAGGTTACTGACTCCCCCTACACCCATTCTCAAGTAGAGTGAGCTTTCATTGCCTTTCAAAAGTTATCCTGAATCTTGCATGATGCATCAGCCTGATTCTAGTCCAATGTCATTGTAGCAGGGTACTAAGGTGCCTGCTACTGTGAGAGCAGAGATAGGAACCCAGGTGCAGGTTGCTGGGACAACCACTTAATGGGGGGAAGTGGCCGCACCTACACCGGGCCTGCTGGCCAGAAGGGGCAGGGCCTGGCTCCTATATAAATCCCAGGCCGGAGACCGGTTGCCAGACAGCAGTCAAGGGGGAAGGAGCCCTCCCTGAGCGAGGAGAGGCCTGACTGCAGGTACAGCCCCAAGATGGGTAAAGGATGGAGCACCCTAAACAAAGGTGGCTGGAATAATGCTATAGCCAGGTGGCTAGAGTTTATGTTATAGCCCAGGGGCCTGTGCTTTGTTTGTTGTCATCACTGGTGGCTTGGGTAAGACTACAAGGGGATGGAGGAGGCCTCATAGGGGACTCATGGTAGTGTGGGGACCCCAGCCCCAGAGAGGGGGGGCAGCATTGGGGGTGCGCCAACCCTGAGCGCCCAGTGAGGCACTGAGCGAGACAAGGCTGTGGCGAGCCTGAGCGCCAGTGAGACCGAACAACGTCCGTTACATCAACGAGGTTTGGGGCATGATAAAGGGGTGGTTGGAGCCACGCATAGCCCCTAAGGCTGGGATGCACCAAAACACCCATTACAGAACAGGGCCTAGGTACAGCAGGATAATCGTGTCCAAGAGAACAGAAAGGCAGCCTCCCTATGATACGTATAACATCAAAGACGTGGCGGACGAGAACTGAGGGTGCCCTTGTGGCTAACTTGGCATGGTAAAGAGGCGTTAGGAGAGATCACGGCGACCCCTAGGATGCCACCCCGTTACAGTCATCATCAAGGGCCACTGACTCCTTTTATTTTAGAGATCCTTCTTCATCTGCCCACTACCTTGTACTTCTGCTTCAAAAGTTGGATGCTGCTTAGCACAAGTAACTTAAACTCCTTAGTTTCCTACTCTTCTCCATAATGGAGGAGGATCAACTGCTTTATATAGAGAAACAGCCTCAAAAAAAAAAAAAAAAAAATCTCCAAAACCCAGCCACCACCCAAAAAGTCAAGCAGCTACCATGTTGGTAATGCAACACACATTAGTACCAGGATTTCAGAACAATAGCACCTCTGTAATTATGCTTCTGAGCTGTCAGTTCAGATACAAATTAAATTCCACCCCAAAGAACTTGTGATATCTATTTGTTAGTTTCTGACATCAGAAATACTGACACTTTATAAAAAGAACACTGTATAAAGCAATATAAAAATACTATATAGAAAGGAAAGAGTATCCCATCTTCTCCAACCCACCTCAAGTGCTACTAGCTGCATCTTAAGAAAGTTTCTGATCAGGCTGAAAAAAAAAAACAAAAAAAAAACAAACCAGTGGGATGAACTGAATACAGGCATCTTCCTACACAAGAAGAGAGCTTTCTTTACACTACCTACTCTCTTGTGCCAGTATTTAAAAA